GTCATAGCAACGAACTATCTGTTACTAAAACTAATATAATTTGAAAGTAGAGATATCGAAATATATAAAAAACCCAATATCTGCTGAATATATTCTAAAAATGCATAGTTTGAACATTTCAAAGTGTTGAACACTTGAATTTTTGAAAACTGTATCGAGCCACCTTAAACTATCAAACTATTGTTACAAACTTTGAAGCTTTGTGTGGGCATTGACAATGTTTTATACCTCTGTCTCTGATATTTTACACGTCTCGCGCACTAATGGCTTAACTAAACTATATGCCAATGGCTTTTGGTAACCCATTAAGCTACAATGCGCATAAATGCACCCTACTTTATTATTTTACTCTATCTAACGCCAGACAAGTTTACTCGTCAAGTGAAGAGTCTTGCGCAGTAATGCGTTACTGCAATTTTCGCGAGAATTTGGCTGTTTAGGTATATGACGTTTGTCGTATATATCTGGTATCAAATTGAATTTTTGTTTTGTAAAGAAGAGTATATGTAAGATATTTCAGTGAGTGGCATACGATTCCTTGATTCTCTGATTTCTCGATTCCCGGATTCCCGGTTTTAAATTCTCCGCCATCTTTGGGAGCCAGGTTTTCGTGCATTGTGACGTAATTATCGAAAGAGTGTGTTTGTCTTAATTAAATCTCAACATGGCGTCCAGAGGGGTACAAGTTCGTCAAAGGCGAAACGCGGAAAACGTACAGCAGATGAAGCGGGGCTCCCATCTTACGCGAAGAGTTATTCGCGAGTGAGCAAAGACAATCTTTATATGATCATAGCTCTGTGGATGGAAGAGTTTGTCAAGGAAGCTCCAGAGGATCACAACAAGGTCAGAGGTGCTCGTGTTACCAAACGACATTTTATACTTATATATATATTTCTTACTGTATGTAATATCTTACTATATACTATATCTTTGTAATTTTATTGTTGCACACGCCCCTTGTGGAAATCAGCCTAGGTTGACAATGGTTAGCGTGTTTAAATAAAAGTTTCTATCTATCTATCTATCTATCTATCTATCTATCTATCTATCTATCTATCTATCTATCTATATCTATCTACATGATTTTGGCTGCAGATTGTTCCCGAGACGGTGTCCACGCTGCAGCCAGGTTGTTGATGAAGCACGGCGATAAAGCCAAGGGTTGTAAGATGTTCATGTCTCGAAAGCCGTGCCCGTTCTGTGCGAAGCTTTTGGTTCAATCGAAAGTCGAACGAGTCTTGTTTTTTGCCGTTTGAACCAGAATACTATCGTTCGCCTGAACCGTTTAAACGACATACAACCAGGACGTCTCGCAAGAAAGTTAATGAAAAAAGAAAGAAATCCAACAAGACCCAAATGAATCAAGTCGACGATTTGTTTACCGCAAGCTCTATTGCACAAACTAGGTTCGTTTTGCAAGTCGAGAAGCCCGTGCTTGAAGATGCGGAACAGAAAAAAACATCGGGAAAAAAAAAGAAGCAGATTCGCGATGAAATCAATAGATTGAACCATGAATATGGTTTTGAAAGAAACCCTAATTGGATGGAGTGTATTAAGGACGAACTACCGTGGCCAGCATTCGACAATGAGATAAAAGCGGAAGTTCAAGCGTACTTTGCGAACGCCATGGAATGGATAGCAAGAGCTAACGTTCTGCGAGGTCGTGGGTTGAATTACGAGTTTGAGTGCTGCCATGACGAGTCAAAGAACTCCGATGCCTTTAATCCAGTGAGTAACACCACTCATACAAAGCAAGCGCGTCATTTCATGGCGATAGCGAGATTTTTGGCCGAACGCACAGACGACCCAAAAACTGGCGTTGGTGCAGTGATTGTCAGTCCAGAAATGGAAATAATTTCGTTTGGTTGGAACAGCTTTCCTCTCAAAGCAAAATATGGCAAGTTTCCAAGAGCTTCAAAAAGCGATAAATTTATAGTTGATAAAAAATACCCGTATGTAATCCATGCTGAGCAGAATGCCCTTTTGACGCGAAATAAAAAGAAGATCGAAGGCGCAATTCTGTTTGTTACAAAATCTCCGTGCAATGAATGCGCTCCTTTGATTGCCATGCAAGGTATTGAAACCGTTGTCGTCGACGATGATGTCTCATCGCGTGATGATGCAGCCCAAAAGAACGGCTTGGGGTATAAGAAGTTTCCTGATATGATCAAAAGTGGCAAGTTCGTTTGCTTTCAAACATGCAAGAGAGCTGCAAGCAGATCCAGGTCCTAGCAAGGCCAGCAGAGCACTGTTCGATGATAAAAAAACAGTCGTAGCATAAACTCTGAACAAATCGACACTCATAAATGGGCCATAATTACAATTAATTTTAGAAACATTGCATGTTCTATATCACAATAATGATTGTAAAACACAACATGATATCAGTGTTTTATGTGACGAAATTTTGTCCCCATTTTTTATTGCATCACTTTAAAGTATGTTCAAAATAATGAAGGTTACAATTCATATTTTATTCCCAAGTTATAGCACTTTTTGTATTTTCAGTTATGGCGTCAGCAAACAGACATTGTCTCTGCAGACATTGGTGACTCTACAAAATTAAATGACATTTTGTACAATTTATAAGTTATATGGCAACAGATCAGTCTCTCTCTTTCATTTGCCTATTTTTTTCGTGTGTTCTTCAAAACTCCGAAATGCAGACTGGAAGCAAGTCTAACTCTTTAGCAGACAGCAGGTCAGGATTGGGCATCCACAATAACGCTTTATTTTATTACTGACAGATACATCTTGTCCATTTCATTGTCGGCCATTCAATCTTCATTCAGTTTTGAGACCAGTGAACCCTGATCTATCATTTACAATTCTGAGATAATTGAAAACCCTGTTCCATCCAGTTTACTCCTGGAGATCAGTGAAAACTATGTTCCATTCAGTTGTACAATTGAGATCAGTGATATTCATAATCCATCCAGTTGCATTTTAGAGGTCAGTTAAAACACTCTTTTCCATCCAGTTGGACTTATGAGCTCAGTGACAATCTTGATCCAGCCAGTTCAAATTTTGAAATCAGTGAATAAAATGCCCCATCCAATTCAGATTTTGAAATCACAAGTACGTGGCTTTGAGGGGTTGACCAAGGTAAATCCAGTTCTTCCTTTTCTTCCAGTCAAACACCGACTTTATTCTCAGGTTTTTCTTCATGTGGAGGGAAAAACTGGGAACGAGGTTGTGAATGCACCTGCTATTCACACGTGCTTCTTTGTTCTATGTTCTACACAACAACATGGCGTCTAGCGAGGATAAAAATTCGACGATGGCAGAATCCAAAAAAGACACAGATAGATCTTACGCGAAGAGCCACGCACGAGTGAGCAAAGACAATCTTTATATGATCATAGCTCTATGGATAGAAGATTTTGATAAAGCTCCAGAGGGCTACAACAATGTCGGAGCGGTGCTTGTGTTACCAAACGACGTTGTTTGCGCCGCAGATTGTTCTCGAGACGGCGTCCACGCTGTAGCCAGGTTGTTGATGAAGCACTGTGATAAAGCCAAGGGTTGTAAAATGTTTATGTCTCGAAAGCCGTGCCCGTTCTGTGCGAAGCTTTTGGTTCAATCGAAAGTGGAACGAGTCTTGTTTCTGCCGCGTGAACCAGAATACTATCATGCGCCTAAACCGCTTGGACCAGAATTCAAAGATGACGATAAGAAGCGCAAGGAAATCGAAAAAGAAAGAAATAAACCCAACATGACCCTTATGAAACAAGTCGACAATATGTTTACTGCAAGCGTTATTGCCCAAACAAGGTTCGTGTTGAAAGTCGATGAGCAAGTTCTTGCCGATTCGGTAGTGAAATCACGCAAAACAGAAGCAGAAATAAAGAAGCAGACTAAGAAAGACAAGGATAAATTGACGAGAAAGTATGGTTTTAGCCGTGAATGGATTGGTTCTTATAAGATTATTGAGAAGAATCTACCATGGCCAGCATTTGACGACGAGGTAAAATCGGAAGTTTTAAATTACTTTGACAACATCATGGAGTGGATGGCAAGAGCTATAGCTCCGCCAAGGAGAGAATTGAAGTTTGAACCCGCTATTGAGAAAACAGAAACTACCGATGGTCGTGACGATGATGATGCTTTTGATCCAGTGAAAAACAACACCCACGCAGAGCAAGCCCATGATGATGCTTTTGATCCAGTGAGAAACACCACCCACGCAGAGCAAGCCTGTCATTTCATGACGATAGCGAGATTTTTGGCCGAACGCACGGACGACCCGAAAACTGGAGTTGGTGCAGTGATTGTCAGTCCGGAAATGGAAATTCTCTCGTTCGGTTGGAATGGCTTTCCTCTCAAAGCACTTTATGGCGAGTTTCCAAGAGGTTCAGACGATAAACCTCCCAAGACGGATAAACCTGTTGGTTCGGATGAACCTGTTGGTTCGGATAAACCAGGAGAAAAGAAAGAGCCTGTAAAAAAGAAATACCCGTATGTAATCCATGCTGAGCAGAATGCCCTCTTGTTTCGAAATAACAAAAATATCAAAGGCGCGATTTTGTTTGTTACGAGAACTCCTTGTGATGAATGCACTCCTTTGATTGCCATGCAAGGTATTAAAACGTTTGTCGTCGACGATGATGTATTTGCACGTGATGCAACCCAAGGCGCGTTGAAGTATAAGGAGTTTACTCTTAAGATCAAAAATGGCAAGGGCGTTTGCTTTCAAACAAAGGAGCCGCAAGCAGATCCAGGTCCTAGCAATTAAGGTCAAGGAAGATCTATCGAAACGACTCAATCCAGATATCTAGTCATGAAGTATTCTAAACTGTGAACAAATTGACACTTTCGATTCTTGTATAATTATATTAATTCTTGACATGTTACGTTTAAATTACGAAAACTACAATAATAATTGCAATAACACAATAGGATGTCAATAAAACTTGACAACAAAGTTATGGAATATAGCCATGCAGTAACCCAAAACATAAATTTAAAAACTTGCTGTCATCAATAAATTATGTCGATGGACATACGTTGCGACAACTTAGGAATTTTGAACTTCCTATGTGCAAAACGAACAGATTTGAGAACTGTTTCATAATGTGTAATTCTTAATGAATATTTGAGATAATTATTAGAATTTTAGTTTAATATAAATAGTCCTATAGATCTAGAATTTGTAACTTTTGCCTTATACTATTTGTAAAACTTTGCGTTATTCAGCCGAGGAATTTTCCGAGGCTTTGCAGCAGAAGTCCTAAACTTCATTAAACTATCAAACTTTGAAGCTTTGTGTGGAAATTGACAATGTTTTATACCTATGACTGTTTATCCTTACATGCAACTGACTTTAAAGTAACAGTTACATAAAGAAACAGAAGAGACCATCCAGTATATACGCCGTGAACTTCATCATTTTACTAACGTCAGACGATTTTATGCGTCAGGGAAAGAGTCTTGCGCACTAATGGCTTAACTAAACTATCTTCCAATTGCTTTT